GAGAGAGAGAGAGAGAGAGAGAGAGATGAGGGTGATGATGTGAGGGCACGTACCTGGTCTTGGCGATGGTCTGCATGGTTGACATCTGCATGTACTTCGGTTGTTGCTGCTGACGTCAACTGGTTGCTTCATCACTGTGTAGTTTAGGATAGAGTAGCTGTGTGATTGTAGTCTGGGGGCGCTGAGCGCCGATAGGAGGAAGCACTTTGATTGCATTGTTGGTGGTGGCGAGTATATGCTTTCATTGACAATCGAGTTCGCTGCTTTGGTTCTCCATCGGTGTCATATCAGTGCATTTTTTCTGCATTCTGGACAGCATTCAAATATCTGACTTTCATTGTGATTTTGCAATTTGGACTCTGGAGTTGCTGTCATTTCGCTATTTCTCATTTTCCTTCTAAACATACCTAACGCAGAAGGCTCCACCACCGATCAGATCCCGCAATAGTCTGAAAAGACTTGGGGAGCCGTCCGAGTCAGGCCACAAGCACAGAAGCACTGGCACTCGTATTCCTCCCAAACAACCTGCTCACGCCACCACTATCTCTATCACTCCATGGCTAGATAGTCCCCATCTGCTGTCTAGCCTCTGGAGTGTATAGAGTACCATAATCCCAAAGACCACAAGATCTTCACGTGACACCAGGAGGGCCACTGCTTAAGACACCCTGGAAGTCCCGTTTCTTCCATGTGCTTCAAAAGAGCATCCCACGGGAATGGGACCCACAGAAAACACTCTCTGAGCCTCCTCGCCAAGATACAGTGGCCAGAACTCCAAGCATAGATTCACAGAATCTCCAACCGACACCAGGACCACTGCTGCTTAAAACACCACGAAATCACCGCCATCTTCCATGTGCTCCAAAAGGGCAGCCTGTGGGAGTGACACCCACAGCAAAGACTGTTCGAGCCTCCTCGCGAAGATACCGTGACCATGATTCCAAACAAACATTCCCGCCCCCCCCCCGAAAAAAGTGCCCACCCACAGATATGCCTTCATCAACAGACAGCCCATGCTCTACAGCAGAGCAAAGAATTAGGCCATGTATGAATAACGAACAACCAACAAATTATCCAACCACAAAAAAGAATGGCTCGCTAGTGTGTGTGTGTGTGTGTGTGTGTGTGTGTGTGTGTGTTGTCATGTCCGCCATACACAACTCCACGGAATAAGCATCACTGTGCCAGACTGTTTCGTCGGACTTTCACCGACTCATCAGGCGGTTGAGTGTGTGTGTGTGTGTGTGTGTGTGTGTGTGTGCTGTCTCTTATACACATCTAGATGTGTATAAGAGACAGGGGGAACACCGCACGTTTGCGCCTGGGTGGGTGG